TAGGCCCAGAACAACATACTTAGGGAACCTAAACAAATGGGTAACAGGAAAGGATCACGGAAACGTAGCTTTTTTGAGAGCATCGAGCAAAGGAATGAATGGAAAACCATGATCGCCGATGTCTGTCGCAGATCTGGCACTGAATGATGATGATATAACATAATATGTTTTTTCTTGTCCTTTTTTTCACCTGTGCAACCTATTGTATTCCCAGGATGGCCCGGTTTGTGTTCCCCCTGGCCTTTGTGATGTTCAACATGACCTACTGGCTCATCTACGTCTTCGTGGAGTTCGACTGACCGCTTCCTCTACGCCTACTCTCAAGGTCGTGACCTTTGACATGCTGTGCTTCAACAGCCATTTTCTCACTCCCCACGGTGGTTCGTGCTGACTTTTTCTGGTACTGAACACAACACACGAATTCCGCAGTGGGTCTCATCAGTGAACGCAACGCAAGCTTGACGGAACCAAAGATCGTACATAATAAGATGGTCCACTCCTCTCTTTGAGCCAATTTTAAACAACTTTCTTCAAAATTCGGTGGTGCCCTCTTCGACAATGTGCGGACTTGGCGAACAGAGTTACCCTACTTGTGCGAATAACAATAAAAGTAAAACTAACAAGCAGTGCTATTCTTATTCTTCTTCTGGAGAAACGAAAGAGAACTTCAAAACAAAGACTGCAGCGCCATCTGAACCAATATGCGGACTTCCGCGGACAATTTTTGGGCTGAGTGAACTATCTTGTTATGTACGATCTTTGACAAAACTAGCCTGGGTGATGTGATGGACAGTCCACGGTCTGGCTGGACGATGTGCGTGTGTGCGACTGGGGTTCAGATCTCGGGACGAGCCAGATTTTTGGTTGGTGCACATACACCCGGGCTTTGTGAGGGATTGCCTGGTTTCTGTGAGGACAAAAACGCTCTGTGAGAGAAACGTTTTGGTTTCTGTCCAAATGAACATTTACGACACGATACCACAGTTTGGACATTTCTGATTATCCGTGCGCCATCATAGACTTATATTATAATATCCTAGATCGGACTCTGTCGTGACCACCCATAGATTTGAATTATAACATGTGTCACGACCTGGTGGAATCAGGCGCTAGTCAACTCTTAGGCATATGGGGTTATCAGTAAAATCTTAATGCCTGTCCATTTGCCTTGCTTCTGGAGAAAAAAAATACCATCTATGTTGAATAGAAGTCGAAATATTTGTGATTGAAGGAGGTCAGAGTAACCTGGTTTCAGAGGTCAAACTATCGAAAAAATTGCCGCCAAAGTTTGGTAACTTCCATAGCCTGAGAGTCCTCAGCAACTGAAAATTTACATTTTTTGTGCCGTTAATCAACTTCTTTCAGTACAATTCATATGGAACTATGTTTTTATATGGACATAAAAGGATTTAAGCCAAAAAACAAAAATTCGATAAAAAATTGTCGACCTGGCGGAAAAAAATGCAAGTTTCTCCTATTTGATTATTTTGAATAGCGCCAGATTTCAACACGATACCTCACATATTATCCTAGATAAGGCACTATCATGGCTGCTCATAGACTTGAATTGTAATATCCTAGACCCTGCTCTGTTACTGTTATGGACGCCACTTTTTTCCCTCTATAAAATCCTCGCTGGAGACACAAATGCAGGGCAGAGATCATCAGTCTCTCTGTAGTCGATTGTCTGCACAAATTTTTCCCTCCAATTAACTTCCTTTGGTTCCAAATTTAGTTAATTGGTGCGCTCCATAGTAAAGCGAAATTACTTCAGGAGAGCCCAGTCTTGGATATCATAATACACGTCTCTGATACACACACTCTGTCTCTGATACACACACCCTGTCTCTCTTTCTCTCTCTCTCTCTATCTCTCTCTCTCTCTCTATCTCTCTGTCTCTCTCTCTCTGTCTCTCTGTCTCTCTCTGTCTCTCTCTCTCTCTCTCTCTCTCTCTCTCTCTCTCTCTCTCTCTCTCTCTCTCAATCTCTGTGTGAGCGCGTGTGTTGCTAACGAGGCTGCAGATACGAGGAGAGAAATGTCTTCTATTGTGTCCAAATGTACATTGATAAAAGCACACTCCTATATTGTAAAAGAATCTTTCATAGTCATTTGTGAATGTGCGCACATCTGTGTAAGAGTGTGTGTCAATGGACCTATGTATGAGTTGACGAATCTTATAGTGCGTGTGTGAGTTGTTGCACGTACTTTGAACTTTGACCTGAGTGAGTTGTTCCACGTACACTCGACCTTTTACCTGAGAGCTGCTGCATGTACACTTGACCTGCGCTCGTGAGATTAACTTGTTCAATTATATCCAAATGTGCAAAGATGGAACAACAGTTTAGAAACTTATCTTTATTCTAGTCATGAATACAACAGACACAGAAACTGTAACACAGAACAGCAACTAGCGTACTTCTGTAACTGTCAGCTGCCAGCTGGCCTACCTCTTCTTCTTTTTCTGTTTCATTTGACTGACAGTGACAGGGGTATAAAAACTTGTATCATGTTAAAGCAAGAACACAGCTGTCACACATCCATTTCACACCCTGGGCAGAGTGAGAAAAATAACTTATTTCTTGTAGATACAAACATTGAGTCGGGCTGAGTGAAAAAATAATATTTTCAATTTCATTTCGATGGAAACTAACGTTACGTTGGGATGAATGAAAAAATAATTGCTTTCATGTAGATACAAAGTAACATAACATTGGGTAGCTTTTGAAATGTTTTAAACCCAGAGAATGACGTTTTTCACATTAGATGAGAAACTTGTTTGTTCTGTACAATAAAGATCTATGTCTTTTCTTGTGGGTTTTTTAAAAACATTTAGAATCTCAATTTGGACAATATATTATTTTATTGAGGACATGCAACTAATACCACAAATTATGATACTGCAATTTTAAAATTCAAAATGTTGGGCTTAGCAACTGTGACCAGCTAGTCAACGACAAGTCACATTCATCGAGAGATTTATGTACCAATAATATGTCAGTCGAGACTTCTCATGCCAAGTTCCCTCATGACAGGGGGCGTGTGGGATGAACCTCAGCGGGTTTGGGCAGTTTCAAACAACGAAAGTTATTTTACCGCAAGGACAACGCACACATTCATTACTTGAGATGAAACACCCCCCCCCGTCTCGCTTGCTGTGTTCAGAGTTTGGGTTTGTCTCCCTGTTTTGTTTTGATTCGCTTAACTTCATCATGTGTTGGGAAATTGTGCAGGTCTAAGACCTCTTGTAACACTGTCGGGTTATTTGAAAGGCGGGACCTCAGAATTTAACGTTAGTCTCCAATACGGCCGAGCCAATTTGAGAAAAAAGGTGTAAAGTGCTTTTCCCAAGGTCACATCGTCAAACCGAGCTGAGTTTGGAACTACCGAACCCGGCGCCACTCCACGATTATGAGTCCTGTAGGCAAAGAGGTATTGGCCCAGAGCAACCTACTAAGGGAACCTAAACAAATGGGTAACGGGGAAAGATCTGGGAAACATAGCTTTTTTTTTTAAAGAGCATCCGAGAAAAGAAATGAATGGAGAACCATGATCGCCGATGTCTGTCGCAGGTCTGGCACTGGATGATGATGAGGCAGACCACTGGACAACAACACCATCATACCATCTTCTACAGTTTATGCAGTACTGGTACCGGTTAAACGCTACCCTTCTAGGCACAAGTTGAACATTTCCAAGACGGGCAGTGTCACTTTAAGTATCTGGCTGGACGGTTTTCTTTTTGCTTCCTATTCGCTTGATTATAGACTCCCCCCCCTCCGACCTCAATAACATAATGCTACATTGGCAAGCTATTCAAATATTCTTAGTCCAGAAAACAACATTTTACTGGATAGATTTTTTTAATGGTTTCGTTCTTTTAACAATTGTTTCTACATTACATTTTTTTCTGGCGTTTTTTCAACATTCAGAATTTGAATTTCGACAAAATATACAATCTTAAGTATATTCAACCGATACTATAGATTAAGAACCAACATTTTATTAAAATTCTGAGCTTTGTACATCTGACCAACTAACCTACGTGTACTCTTGTGAACACATTGTGCAGTAAATTATTCCTTCGTGGCATAGTGGTTTTTGCTGATATTGTCCTTATTGTTGTTGTTAATGTTGATGTTGTTGTTGTTAATCTTGTTAATGTCGTTGTTGTCAATGTCCTTGTTGTCACTGCTGCTGTTGTTGCTATAGTTTAGCTGTTGCCTTTTAAAAGATTGTTGTTGTTATTGTTGTTGTTGTTGTTCCGATAGCTGATGTTAGTATTTCTACTTTCCAATGCTTCCAGACCTCTATTAAGTCTCTCTATTGTAGACATGATTCATTGTTTTCTTTTCTGCCGTGTGGTTTTCTGCTGACATTGCTGTTCTGTTGTGGGAAGACTTCAATCTTGTGACATCCAATAAGTAATGGGTTCGAACCCCATCTGGGACATGACATTATTATTAGGCTACACTGCTCTAGACAGCATCGGTGGCCTAGTGGTTAGGCTCTCGGACTCGCAACCGTAAGGTCGTGGGTTCGAATCCCGTCATGGACGCGACGTTGTGTCATTGGGAAAGGCACTCTACACGAATTTTCCTCACTTCACCCAGGTGGGACTGGGTACCCGGCTATAGACAACTAAAGATCTTGTCAGTTTGTTAGTGTCTGAGCGCTTAATCAGCTGCTTGCACTGTATGCTTCCCGGGAAGCTGAGAATGTTTCGGAGTGTTCTATGGTCTGCTGGGGTAATAATATAGTGTAAACCGCATAGAGCGGGGATTATGCGCTATACAACTGCTATTTATTAGTATTATTATTATAGACAACGGAAGATCTTGTCAGTTTGTTAATGTTTGAGCGCTTCATCGGCTGTGTGCTCTGTATGATTCCTTGGAAGCCGAAAATGTTTCAAGATGTTCTGGGGTCTGCTGGGGTAATAAGATACTCTGTAAAGTTAACTGGGCTTGCCAGTGAGTGGGGACATGCGATTGCAAACATACTGACCATGTCTTAACGCTAGAAAACATCAAGGAAGTCAAGATCTGAAAGGAGGAAAGTACATGTAGTGCCTGTTTAGTCAACTTTCTCGACTGTGTCTGTCTACCACCCAGGCAAAGCTGTATAATACATACCCCTTTAAGATTGTCTGTCAAGAGCCATACATACTTTTGTTATTGTTGTTGCTACTGTTGTTGTTGTGGTTGTTGTTGTTCTTGCTGTTGTTGTTGTTGTTATTGTTGTTGATGATGCTGATGGGGCTGATAGTAGAGGCAATGTGATTATTGTTCTCTCAGTGTTTGGTTTCCTACTCCAGCTGAGGTGTGCCATCAAACAAAGATGATTCTGGCAAAGACTGTGATTGGAAAAACGAACAGAGTGAAAGATGAAAACTTATAAGTAATAAATTTAAAAAAGCCCCTCTTTGCGTATAGACCATTTTATCTTTCAAACAACTGCTGTTGAAGTATTGGGACTAAATTGGTTTTGTAGATATGCCATTACAGTAAGAGGAAAAAAAGTAGGGAGAGAAGGGGG